ATATTTATACCTAGATTTTTATTTTCATGTCAATTGAACTCTTAGCAATAACCAATAGGATTTATAAAGTACAAATCAAACTGTGGTGAATTTGTGGATAGAACTACAGATTGGTGGATGAGGGAAATCAGTAGGTTTTATGTCTGGATTTCAATAAATCACCTGATAGAGTATCTTCCAGAATCTAAATAGCCAAATTATCTGATCTCACGAAGCTGAACACATGTAGCCGTCCATTCCTAACTGGAAATGAAATTACTTGTGGGGTTTTTTTTTCCTTTTTAGATGAATATTTCATTGGTGACTTTAAAAGAGTTTGTTTAAAGGTGCTAGTGGGGTTTGTGTCTTACTGAAAATAGTGGTTTGTTTTCCCCTTTGGTTTTATTTCCTATACCACTGCTGTATTGTAGATTTTGCCAGCAATAGATGAAGCTCTATTCACATAGCTCCTGGCTATGAAAAATCCATTTGCTAGTCATAGCTGTACACAAGGGCTACATGATTGACTGGCATGATTTTCCGCAAATGCTTTTAACGGAAAAGTTTTCCATTAAAAGCATTTGTGGAAAAGAGTGTCTAGATTGGCACGGACGCTTTTCCGCAAAAGCACTTTTTGCGGAAAAGTGTCTGTGCCAATCTATACGCGCTTTTGCGCAAAAAAGCCCCGATTGCCATTTTCGCGATTGGGGCTTTTTTGTGCAAAACAAATCTGAGCTGTCTACACTGGCCCTTTTGCGCAAAAGCTTTTGCGCAAAAGGACTTTTGCCCGAACGGGAGGAGCATAGTATTTCCACAAGAAGCACTGATTTCTTACATGAGATAGTCAGTGTTCTTGCGGAAATTCAAGCGGCTAGTGTAGACAGCTGGCAAGTTTTTCCACAAAAGCAACTGCTTTTGCGGAAAAACTTGCCAGTTTAGACACAGCCTAGGTTTCCCAGGTTCTGCTCGGGGCCTGTGGCAGCCTTCATTAAAAGGGTCCCCAGTAGTTACAGCTGCACTTCTCTGCTGCAACCCAAAGGCGAGACAGCT